TGAACCTTAGCATGGATGACAGCAGAACGAACGACCGATTCTGAAAGCCCAACGGTTTCTGTGCAGCCATCTGGAGGCCGATGACCTGCAGCCACAGCAAGCGGACTGACTGACCTGGGATTCAGATACCCAGTTTGGTTTTAGTGCTCGCCCTAACTTGCAATATGGCCTTGAACAAGTCAGTCCCCCTCCTAAGGCTTTATTTTCTCCCCTCTCCCTCTTTCTGGCCTGTTGCTTTGCTCCCTGTGAAGCCCCCAGTTCTGATGTGTGGGAACGTCAAGTCGCCATGATTATTCTTTGATGAGTCTTGTGAAGAGGAACCAGGTCAGGGGAGGGGCATCGGTGGAACGGGACAGCCTCTCTCCTCCCAGGCTCTACATTTGGCCTGGCTCCCTTGTGATCCTGTCTCCAGCCTCTCGTGGCTCTAGCTGTGTGACCTCAAGCAACTCACTCAACCTCTCTGAGCCTTGGTGTCCTCTTGTGAAATAGCACTGGATCCAGTAGCCTCCAGGCTTTTCCCCTGTATCTCCCTATTTTCTCTAGGAGCCTCCTCCTCTCCTTCACCCTCGCTGGGTCCTCCCCCCATTCCCATGCTTTGTTTTCACCTGTGTGTCCACCCACTTGGCCCCCTGGCTGGTGTGCTCCACTCGGCCATAGAAGTGCACAGGCAGCGTAAACTCAGGTCGAGCCTTCTCCCAGGGGTTGCCGTAGCGAAGCCAGTCATCAGCCTCCTCCATCTGAGCCCAAGGCAGGTCAGGGGAGAAAGGAAGGCGGTGTTAGACCCAGACTCACACCATTGTGGGCAGTGAGAAGGGCAAGGGAGGTGGCCTGGCATGCCCTATATAGGGTGTAAATTAAGGACTCCGGGATGTGCCACTGGTCTGGTGTGGTATCCGATGGGACATGGTATGTGTATGAGAGTTCAAGAGGTTTCACAGGTATGAACCACCTGTTCCTGGAGTGACCAGCTGGCTTTGGAGCCAGGAGAAAGGGGCAAAGATGCTTTTCATCAAGGCTGGGTGGGGCTGGTTCTGGGTCTATCCAGAGGTGGACGAGCAAATGGGGGTCCCCTCCATCATTTCTGGGCCCCCACAAAGTCAGGGCCCAAGGCTACTCACCTGCCAGCCCCCAGAGATCTTCTGGTTAAAAATCCCAAACTCATAGCGGATTCCGTAGCCATAGGCAGCTAGACCCAGTGTTGCCATAGAGTCCAGAAAGCAGGCTAGGGGTGTGCAGGGTGGTGGGTGTCAGGGACCCAGCACAAAAGAACCCTTCTGCCCACCCCGTCCTCTGTCACCCTGCCCACTCACCTGCCAGTCGGCCCAGGCCCCCGTTGCCCAGCCCCGCATCTTCCTCGATTTCCTCCAGCTCCTCCATGTCCAGGCCCAGCTAGATAGGGGGCAGGGTGTGACAGTAGTCAGGGCCAAGGGCTGGCAGGCAAAACCCTAATCCCTAAGGCTTGCCCTCCCCCTCCCCGCTCCACACCTGGTAGACGGCCTCATCACAGGCGTTCTCCAAAGCCAGGTTCACCATGGTGTTTTGTAGAGTCCGGCCCATATAGAACTCCAGAGACAGGTAGTAGATCCTCTGCCAGAGAGACGGATGCGCAGGGGGAGGGGGTCAGGGCTCCCAACCAGCACTTAGCTCTGCTCAGCTGGGCCTATGCCTCTCTCACCTCCTGCCTCACTCCTGGGCCCCAGCATGTCCCGGCCCTGTCTCCATTTCTCTCTTCCCGTCCTAGGCTTTGGGACCTAACAAGTAAGATTCTAGTCCCAGCACTTCCTGACTTTGGATAAATCACTTTTCCTCTGAGCCTGTTTCCTCATCTGGAAACGGGGGCTTGCCCTATCTACCCCAGGGATTCAGGTGCGTGGGAGATGGGGCAACCCCTTCCATCACACGCAAGCCTATCAACAGCCCCGCAGGGAGTCAGGACATAGAGAAGTACCTCCAAGTGCTCCCAGAAAAGGCAAGGCCAAGCCCAGAGAAAGTCATTTGCTCAAGGTCATACAATGACTCACGGCTAGAATCAAACAGCTCCTGTCCTTGCAGTGCCCGGCTCCCCTTGGCCTTCAAGCCTCAGGCCCCAGAAGGGCACAGAGAGGCCCCCAGATCCAGGATGCTGATGGTACCCGGTCTCCTGGTTTCCTGGGTCCCCTCCCTACTTCACCCACCTGTCCAGTTCTCACCCTTGCCCAGTACCGTCATATTGCTGACATTTACAGATGACCCCGAAAGACACTTGATCCCACTGCCCCACTCTGCGCCACCTGCTGCCCAGGCACACCACGCACATGTTCAATAACATGTTCTTCCATTTCTGGTCCGCCCCAGGCCACAGGGGTCTTCCTGCCCACTAGCAGCCCCCCTCCACTCGCTGAGTGGGCACTGACCCTTTGCTACCAGCCCACCTGACCTGAGGCCCCGATCTGCCCCTGCCCCAGGCTTCTCCCCTCTGGGTTGCCCCCACACCCACTGCACCTGGCACCCCTGGATCCTCCAACTTTAGGAACCTGAAGTGTCCTTTTATTTTGCTGCAGAAAACCCTGACCCCAGGAAGGAGCTGTCACTTGGTCAAGGTCTCTCAGCCCCCTGGCGGAGCCCCAGGCCCATTCCCCACTCAGGGTGCCCCAAGCAGCACCTTGGGGTCCTTCTCATAGTAGTACTGCTGGGTGCGGATCCAGCGCCCCACGAGGTGGTCGCGCACGGTGTGGGCCAGCGCGAAGTAGTAGTCCCGCGGGGTGGCCACATTGCGGTCCTTCACGAGTGTGAAATGTAGATGCCGGTTGAAGTTCTTCTTCAGGTCGGTCACGTTCTCCACGCCGGCCAGGCCACGCACGCTGATCTGCTTTCTCTTGTCCTGGTCTGACAGGGGCCGGGACATGGCTGCGGGAGGGCAGGCCGGACTGACCGGTGGGTGGGTGGACGGGCGGCCTCCGAGGTGCCTCCAGCCAGGGAGTGGAGATCCCCAGGCGTCTGGTGATTTAAAGCCCAACTCTGGGCAGCATGCCCCGCCTCCCCCCGCGATGGGTGGGGTCTTGGCCTGACAGCTGAGGGAGCTATTTTGAGGGTGAGGGGAGGAGAGGAGAGAGGGACAGGAAGAGCAGGGCCAAGCTCCAAACAGGGCCAGGCCAGACTCGGCCTGGCTCATTCACAGCTCTGTGCTGACCCACTTCTTGGACTCACACACTGGGGTCTTGTCTTCTGCCTGTCTCTGTCTTCCACAGGGTCAAGATGCAAACAGGCAGAGTGCTGGCTTGAGAGGTCCGAGGCTTGACTGGAGCCAATGAGCTGTGACTTTGGCTAAGAGGTCGCCCTGATCTGGCCCCTCTCCTGGGTTATAGACGAAGGGTGGGGCTGGATTGTGGGCTCTCATTCAGGAGAGGCCGAGGGGACGGTTAGGGGGGCAGGTTTCAGGAGGCCCAGGCTTCCTCAGAGAAGCTTGGCTTGTTTTAGACATTTGCCCAAAGAGACTGTAAACCACGGGATGGATGACCTCTGGTCAAGCTTCCATAGTGTCTCTATACTGGGGGGTTGTCAATGGCTGCACTCTGGTGGTGAGGCCACATGTTATGGCAAGAGGGGCGGGAGACCTCTGTAGGTTGAAGGGCCAGGAATCGAGGGTCAGTGTGCCCCACATAGAAGAGATGTGGCTAGAGGAAGACACGGGGTGTCTGGGAGAAGGGGGACTAAGACCCTGAGTTCCAGGGGGTGGTATGGAGGATGTCATCTGAGACCTCACCCCCCACCAAAGCCAGATGCTCTGAGCTCCCTCTGTTGCTGTCCCTCAAGGAGCTCTGAAGTGACCTTTCAAAAGGGACGGTCAGATTACACACTAACAGGGATCGACAGCCTGGAGCAGGGTCCCCTGGGAATTGTAGTCCTGTGGGCCCACAGGGGGTAGGAGAAACTGAAGCAACCCCCCCCCCACAATATTGGCCAATGGTATTAGGTCTTCCTGTGATGCAGCTGCCAGGTGATTGGAGGCCTTTGCTCACTCACTCCTACTACCTGGGGCCATCCACTGGACAGGGATTCAGTGGGCCAGGGTTCACAGCTATAACCCCATCTGTAAATAGGAGCCCCTACAGTCCAGGACCTTTACACTGTTCATCTTCATGGCCTGGAAGCTTCAGACTCTTCCTTTGGAGGCCTTGGCTGCTCCCAACTCACTGCTGAAGGACTGGCCCCAGTGCTAATTTGCTGTGTGACCTTAGGCTGATTGCTTTACTCTTCTGAGCCTTGGACCCCATAACATTTATCCTCTCAAATGAGAATATCAATCCCTGTCTCCTCCATCTGCTGCTTCCAAATCTTGTGGAAGCCGCCTTTGGTCCCTGCTTTCTTCTTTGAGCAAAAGGAGCCCAGGGCTTTGTGCTATTTCAAAGGATGCCTGGGCCTCCCAGGGCAGTGGGCCGGTGGAGGGGAAGAACTGGGTGTTCTGATCTTAGGGCCAAGGAAGCTGGTCAGAAAAGTGCAGGATCCTATTGAGAGCCTGGTTCGGGGAAGGCCAAGGTGCTCCCGTGGACTCTGAGCCACAGCAGACCCAGCCTGGGAATTACAGCTCAGCATGGGGGCTAGATTGCCAGTCCTCCCAGGCCTTTGGATTCCCAGGCCCTGCACTGCCCACAGCATCGCTGTGCTGGTCTTCCAGAGTACCATGCTTCAAAGTGGAGAAAAAGGGCCAGAAAGACCAAAATGCACCTACACAGGTGTAGTAGGAGGAGTATGAAAGACCATTCTTCAATTTTTCTCTATTTCTAATTTCTCTTTTAAAAATCGTATTTCCAAAGAGTTCGTAGCAGCACTTTGGTCTCTTCACAGCTTCCATCCTCAGCCTCCCCTAGGCCTTACCTCTTTGCAGCTCCACCCCGCCCTCCACCAGGCGCTCGACTTCCGGCCCCGGCCTGGACTTTTTGTGGAGGGCTGCCCCCAGCACAGCTCAGAAGGCTCCTTGGCAGTCATCCCTCGACAAGTAGCACCAGTTACGTGCGCTGTCACCTCGAACCCAATTATGGCAGCACGTTTTGGCCACGATTGCCTGTAAGACTCTCTTCCTGCCACTATGGACCTGCTCCCAACAGGCCATTCCCATCTTTTTATCCCGCCCAATGAAATCCTTTTCCGGCGGTTGGCCTCCTTGCTGCTTATCGATTCAGTGCGCACCCCTCCTCGGAACTGGAACATGCCTTGTTTCTCTTGGAAACGGATATACTTTTGACTTGTTCTTTAACTGCTCTTCTTGTTTGGGGGTTCTTTCAGTCTTTGTGTCAGTGACCCCCAACTCAGTTTCCAGGCTTTTTCCTTTATTTTACACATCCCAGCCTGCCAGGATGAAACCTTGAAGGCTCAAACTGCCCTACTTCGTGTCTCCCCAGGCCCTGGCTGCTTCTTCGCTCCCTAGTGTTGCATGTGCAGTTAAAGAACTCTGAAAGCGCATGTTTTCAACCTGAACTCAAGGTTGTTTACTTGACTGGGTTTCTCACCAGAAACCCTGCCTCCTTTCCCAGACCCATCTTGGGTTTCTCTAGAGCACTTGGTTGGGTTTCAGTAATAAAGCCCTAACTCCGACCTTTCCCAGCTGGCATTCCTTTTACAGAGGTGGGGACATACTGCTTCAGCAGCACAAACAGGGACAAGAGTGGATGGTCCTCTGCAGCAAGTCACCTAACAGGGCCTTTACTACACCCTAGGTATCTCCGGGCAGGTGGGAAGCCGGCCTCACCTCTCCCCTTCTGCCAAAAGCAGGCGCTTGCTGCCATTCTCAGGGCCAAGCCTTCCTGCTGTCTCTCCTCCATTTCAGGGCCTCGAGCTGCTTGGAGAAAGGCCCGAGACTGATGCCTTCGTCAGCCACTTTGTTACTCTCCAAAACCTTAACAAAAGCTGACGGCAGGGAGCAGAGAGGGAGCGAGCACAGGAATGGAGCTGGCCCCAGGGGAGAGAGACGGAGGAGATAGCTGGGCTGTGGTTAAGTCATTTATTGATTTTATTTCTAAAACCCACACAGCACCACTTTGCCTATTCCAGAGCTTCAAAGAGCTAATTAACCGCCCAATGAGCCCACCAGGGAAACAGCTTGTGGGGGAAGCAATGAGGTGAAGCCAAGGTCAAAGAGGGTAGCCAGGTTCCGGCCCTGCCTCCATGTTGTCAGTCAAGGACAAAGGGAAAGATCTCTCCCCTCCCTCTCCTTTTGGTAGAGGGAGGTTTAAGGCTTAGTTAGGGAGCCCACTGAACTTTGAGACCTCCTTAACCCCTGCAGGCCTACATCAAAGAACAGGCACCCTGGGCGGGGACCAGACATCAGGGCTCCGCTCCAGATCAACAGCAGTGGCCAGCTCCAGCTTGAAGCTGGAAAGCAGCCCAGGCGAGAGTTGTCCCCAAGGCCCAGGTGCTGGGGGCGGCTATCCCTTGGCCTCCCTGAGGAAGGAAAGGCAGCTGGGAAGGGGCTGACTCTATTGAAGCTCCCCGGGGGCAGTAGAGCAGAATCCCAGTGACAGGACAAAGACCTCTACCTCGCAGAGGCCAGACACGGCTTTTTCTGGTGCCTCTATCCACGGCCCTAGACACAAAGGAACGAAAGAGCCTAAGACCCTTTGCAAAGAAGTGCTTACGAAGCACAAGGTGGGGCACTGTCTTGCCCCCCCACCCCAATCTCCTCAGCCTGCAGTGCTGGCAGGCTGCAAGCCACCAGCAGAGAAAGAAAAGCCACTTGGCAGTTTTAATTTTAGCTGCTCTGCCTGACAGGCAGGATTAGCTGGCTTGACCTTTAGTGCTGATGCCTCCCTAGGCCCAAAGCCTTGGTCAGGTGGCAGCTTCCAGGCACAAATCACAACTGGAGCTTGTCAAATGTGGGGTATCCGAGCCCCAGGTAAAGGCCTTCAAAAGGACAGGGACCAGAGAAATGAGGGGTGAGGCGAGTGAACCAGGTTCTTGCCTATTAACCAGTAAAGAAGGGGAGGTGGCGGGGCCACCCACACGCTCAGCTTCTACCAGCAAAGCTAGAGGGAGGCAGGAGACTGCCTCAGCGAATGTCCCAGTGTTACCCAGGGAGAAGGGGACGACTGAGGCCGGGTGCTGAACACAGGTAAGGTAACTGGTACTGGTGCTGCTGGTGGGGGTGAGGGTTGGGGTGGGGGTAGAAAGCGTTTAAGAGAAAAAATAAACAGACCCAGAAAACCACACTGCTCTTTTATTGGAACACCCCCCTTTAACGCAGTATTGAATCATACACTGGAAGAAAAAAAAAAAAAAGCCCAGAGAAATTTCTGCAGATAAACCAGTGAAGAGAACGCGCATCATACATTATTGTCAACATAATCACTCCATGAAGAGGGAAGGGAGGAAAAAGGAAGCAGAACGAAAAACAAGGGGCTCAAACCCCCAGACACTGCAAAACAGACACGTGGAATTAAAAGAAAATTTCAAAGGAAGCCTTCCGGGAAGGAGAGGGACAAACGGGACAGGAGGCAGCTTAGGCGCTCAGGGGGCACGGAGACAATTCTCCGGGCTGGCAGACAAGCCCAAGGTGGCTTGGGTGGCCACACCTACTTCTGGCAGGGGCGTCAGGGTGAATGTGGACCCTGGGCCCGGTGATTATGCCACTGCTCTGAGGGCAGCAGAGACGAAATCCCACACTTGAAGTCTCTGGGGGTGGCTGTGGCACCCTGGAAATATTTGAACCAAAGGAACACCCCTCCCAACTGGCCTGACATTAGTGGCCAAGACCTTTGCCTAAACCCATTTGCTCCTCTCCTTGGAAAAGAGTGAAGAATGGAGAAAAGGGAAAGAAATCATTGCAGCAGAAGACCGGGGAGAGCGTCTCCTTGGACGGAGTCTGAAGAAAGGAAGAGATAAGGAAATAACAAAGGAAAAAGAAAAAAAATTAATAAAAATTTCACAATATGGAGCCAGCGTGTTCCAATTCCGTCCACAAAAATAACTCAGGCTGCTTTGCCGAACCATCCTGTCCACCAGGGGCGTTGCTGAGGCTGTCTGCCTGGAAGGGTCACCAATGGGCGCGGAAAGTCCTCACTCTCATGGCTCGGGCCATCGCCGCCGCGGGGAGGGATCCTGGCGGCCCGGTTTGGGGAGAGGCAAAGGGAGTTGGGTGAGGAGAGAAAGAAGACAAAGAAGACACTCGATGCTACGGGGCGCCAGGAGAGCCCAAGCTGGCGCCCCAACTATCACCTGCCCGTACCCAAGCGAGTCCTCAGTCGCCTGGCCCAGCCCGGTGCGTGCACACACACACATGCGTGCACACAATCACATGCGTGCGTCCCAATGTCTGGCTCCATATGGTGAGGTTCGGCGTGTGTTTAAACGAGACCAATTCTCTCTCTCTATAATATATATTTTCTTAAAAAACCGAGTCTAGTTCTGTGGTGGAGGCGGTGGGGGAGCTGGAGGCATCCCGAAGGGCGGCATGCCCGCCACCCCCATGCCCATCATGGTGACAAAGTTAGAAGGGTCCATGGGAGGCGGAGGAGGAGGGGGCGGGGCATACATCATGCCGGCGGAACCAGGCGGCGGAGGCGGCGGAGGGGGAGGGGCCCCGGGCGGCAGAGGCGGCTGGACCCCGGGGGGCAGGGGCACCATAGTGGGGTTGCCTTGCATCTGAGGGGCTCCTGGAGAAGCTGCGGCAGCCGCCTGCTGCTGTTGCCATGGCGGGATGGACCCTGTGCCAGCGCTCGTGGTGGTAGTCGTCGTATCTGGGGTGGTAAAGAAGCCCAAGGTCACACGCGCGGGGGCACACCGCGGCTCACTGCGGCTGCTGCCTTGGGTGGGCAGGACTACCCTGGGGTCAGCCTCAAGGTCTCTGGGCTTAACTGAGTAAGCCCTTTGTCACCAATGCCCTCTGGAAGGGCTGCGGGGAAGGTACCAGACACAAGAACCGGCTCTGACATCCCTCCGCCCATCCGCCGCCACCACCGAACGGCACATTCAACCTCAAGGCCACAGCTACTCTCCCCACTGCCAGGTCCCATCCCTGCAGTCTCTCAGGCCCCAATCACATCCCTCTCCAGAGCATGCATGCACCGCCCGCCCCCAGCTGTGAGCACAGGCTCGCGCCAGCCAGCTCGCCCCAGCCAGCTCGCCCAGCCCATGAGAGCCTGGACTCCTGGCACCCTACCTACAGTCACAGCCGCCCCTCCAGGCACCCCCAGGCCTCTCCCCAGACACAACCACACCAAACATCAGCTCTCTTCCCCAGACCCCCAGGGACCACAAGGCCCTCTCTGTTTACACCCCCAGCAGAGACCAGAGTCTCATCCCAAGGTGCCAGCCTGCCTGTGAGCTGTGAGGTTCTCTCCTTCCTCCCAGCTCCACCCCACCTTCCCTCCCACCCCCACGAGCCCAAAATATGCCACTCACTTTGCTGCCATGGCAAGGGGGTACTGGAAGCCATACTGCTGCTGGGCGGAGGGGGCGGCGGAGGCTGCTGCTGCTGCTGTTGCCATGGGGGAAGAGGACCAGAGGGCGGGGGCGGGGGCTGCCCACTGGGTGGCGGCGGCGGCGGCGGCATCATGCCCATAGGCGGCGGCGGCATCATACCTGCAGGTGCATGGAGGCGAGAGTGAGGCCTCGAGAGAGCAGAGTTGGGACAGACTCCCAGGCCTAGGTGACGCCCCCAAAGTGAGCAAACATTAGGCTCCATTACCTTTTCCTTGATGCAGGCGATAGACCCCAGAGCCCACAGGCGTACTTCCCAGGTACTGATCTTGATGGAAGGAAAGAGCAGGGACTTAGCAGGACATTTGAACTGGCCAGGAAGACGCCCCCACCAACAGCTTACTCAGTCACACAACTTGCAGTCGCTACTCTCACAAGAGCAATTCTGTTATCTCCCCTGTTAACAGGTAGGTCTATACCTATCCCACACTGAAATCCCTTCCTGAACCGGAAAGGAGTCTTGCTCCTTCTGGAGCCCAAGCCTTGAGAAAAGACCCAGTGCAATACTCAGGCACTTTCATGAGAGCTGCTTCTAGTTCACAGTGACATGACATAACCCTTGCTTAGCCCAAAGCCCCAAGGTTTCTGGTCTGACACTTACTTACCCATTGGAGGAGGGCCATGGTGCCCAGGTGGGTGGGGGCCCTGGTTCATCGGTGGTGGCGGCGGCTGCATCCAAGGGGGTGGGGGTCCGTTAGGGTTGTGCTGCATGGGATGTCCACCATGCCCGCCCGTCAGGCTGGGTAACGGGTGTGGGAAGCTGTGGGGGCCACCTCCAGGCCCACCAGGACCACCTCCGTGCATGCCATGGTAGGGCCGACTCTCTGAAGGGCCGGAATTCATCCAGGGTGGGCGGCTCTGGGTGGTGGACATGAGAGACTACGTGAGAGCATTTCCGGCCAACATCCCTGCCTGCTCCCCCTGGTGGCAACACTGTTCTTTCAGCTATGCCAGAGGACCAGAACACAAAGACAGAATCTTTCCAAAGTGAGAGGTCCCCAAATGTCCTGACATCTCTGAAGAACAATGTTGCCAGCCACTTCCACCAACCTATTCTGCCCCAAGCACCTGGCCACAGCCCCCAGTCTCTGAGAAAGAGAATGGGGGGCCAGACCGTGAGAACCAGCCCTTGAAGCTCACCGGTGGAGGTGGGTTGTTGGCGGGAGCAGCAGGCCGAGGTGCACTGGCCAGAGGTGTGCTGGCAGGCCCAGAGCTGGAGCCCACAGATGCTGGCACTGGCGCTTCACCCAGCTCAGCCATGAGAGACAAATATTCTTTATCCATCCGTGCTTTATCCTGGGCTGACTGGGGGTCACCAGGCCTAAAAGTGGGGTAGAGGACACAGAGAAAGGGGAAAAATCATTAAGAAGGAAACGTTTTTCACCCTGAGTAGTTTATACAGGAAAAGTTTTGAGGAACCGAATAACCTCCTTCCTAAAACCTTCCTCAAAAATCTCATCAGCTCTTCAGTCCTGGGCCCAGCTCTGCGTCTGGGATCAACATACGTATCTCTGCCCCAGCAGACACCCTTGAGGCAAACCAAGAGAACACAGTGAGCGCCAGGACACAGCCACCCATGCGAGCCAGGAAAGCGCAAGTTCTTCCAAATAGCCAAGTTTCATCAAATTCTGCGCTCCCAGTTTGAGTGAAGGAAAATCCATGCAAGACTGGAACACAACTGCCAGAACTTCCTTAACAGCGCCACTGAGGTGGAAAAACGTGGCTATCAAGTGCTGGTTTGCAACTGGTCAAAATCCATACATTGCTTACTTAGTCCTCTTAAACCAATCTTAAGCAGCAAAAAGAACACTTACTATTGAGCCACAGTGCAAACACACCCAGAATGGAAGTTTCCAGTTTTCCTGGGCTCAAGATGAGCAATAAAACAGGCGTGTGTTCTGTACGGGCTGTTACTAATCATCGTGGGCTTTAAATCACACCATTACAGACACAGTCACAGAAAGCAAGCTTCTCCTGAGTCTAAGGCTTAGCAGCAACCAACCACTACCAGAGCGCCATCCTGTAACCACTGGCTACCAGGAACCCACGGGTGCGGCCCCTCACCTTTGGAATTTGCAATCAGAAGCAATGTGGCCGGCCCCTCCACACTTGGTGCACACTGTGGTATTGGTGATACTGCGGGTCTCTGAGCTCTGCCAGGGCCTTAAAATTCTGTTGAGAGAAAAAAAGTTACCTCCAGGGCCGTAGCCAGTCTTCCCGCTTCCGCCGGTTCTCCGAGTCTCTGTGCACGCCCCTCTAAACTAATCCGAATATCTGCGCACGCCCCTCTAAACTAATCACATACCTGTTATCGTCTTCCCGAAGGGTCCCATTCAAGCGAGCCAACTCCCGGAGCTGCATCTTCCGGAGATCATTCTGGTCCTCAGGGGTTTCGATCCCCTGCTTCAGGATGTTTCTTATCTAATGCAGACACGACAGTTACGACAGTTACGTAAGTGCTGAGACAACCACCCAGAGTTCTGGCAAGAGGCTTCCTTTCTGGCTCTCTCACCTGTTCTACTGCTTTCTTCACATTCTCCATGGTGTTGGCGGTCACCAGGGCGTGAAGGGGCTCATCTTCTCCCGGCAACATCTGGCCATCTTTGCGCCCGACTTTCCCTTCTTTCACGGACCCTTTCCCTCGGATCATAATCTTGGCATTACACTCCTTCTCTATGTTCTTCAACGTGTTCCCTCTGTCACAAGCAGAAAGGACTGTGTTGTTATACACTTGACATGCAAATTCACATGCCACGGGGGGCAGAGAAGGGATAATCAGGCACTACTAGTAGGACGCCCTGAGTGCAGAAAACTGCATTTTCCCAACGAGATCTCCATCATCTCTAAGTTAACATCAGCCACAGCAATCCTTAAGGCATGACTTCTCTGTAGTAAAATGAGGAAGTTAAAGAAATTTCCTCACATAAAAAGCATGTACTCAGCTAAAGTGAAGGTCCTACCACAAACAGGAAAGCCAGCCACCAATGGCACCCAATCAGGCAGAAGACAGACACATCTCACAGGTTCTTAGCAATCCTTTATCTCATGGGCTAGAAGTTACTCACCTGGGCCCAATTAGCAGCCCCACAAAGTTGATTTCCGGATACTCATCTTGTGGAATCATTACTTTATCACTCACACGTGTTGCTGGAGGTCTGCGGAAGAAAAGACTCATTGACTGCACGTTTCTGAGAGGTGACAGACTAATCAGCTCTTCTAGAATGCCTGGTGTTAACTATAGGTGATTTGGGGTAAAAGTGAGTAGTACCAAAATGGTTCTACCAGGTCACACGTAACCTGCACGTGTCCTTGTCCCAGACAGCCTAGCCCCTCTTACTTGTAATCTGCAGGTGGCTTGAAATCAGGGTTGAGGGCAACCATTTCCGTGATGAGGTTATGCCGCTCCTCTTCCAGCTTTTTGCGGGTGCGGAACTCACGGGTGTTAAGCCGCTTCCCCTCGCTATTGTAGATGGGCTCAGGGGAAGGGGACCTGTGGGAAACAGACCACCGTTACTGCTCTGCCTTCTCTTTTCTCTCATTCCCACATGGGCTATAATAAGTCTTCCCCAGCCCCTCTGCCTCTCAGACTCTAACACAACACTCTTCGGAGGAACCGACCGTAACGTGTGCTATTCAAGTTCGTGTGGAATGGGGAGATGGAAGCTGGCTTAGCATTAGGGGGACTGGGGTGTGTGTGAGAAAGGAAAAAAAATGATTTTGCTTCTAAAAGCGATGAGAGGAAAAAAGTCTGTCCTTCTAGGGGGAAATCTTCGGACTATAAATGGCAAGGACAGTAAATATCCTCTGGAGTCGTCTTGCCAAATATGGACTATTATTTGCAAAAAAACTTTACAACATTACGAATTTTATGAACTATGAAACCCCAAGTTTAGGTAAAAGGTTAACTCTTGCAGAGCTCAGGCCCTATCAGGAAGAGTGTCTGCACCCCTCCCTACCACAGGGGAAGTATGTGCGAGCTCTTTAACCCAGTGCAACTAGGACTCGAGGCTACTGCAGCTACTTGGCCCCCACAATGGAGAGAGATGGTTCAAGGCTTCGTCTCTGCTTTTCCTTCAATGGCCTGGCTGGCTGTGTCCAAGGCCCAGGAGTCAACCTGTTTTCTGGCTGTTCGAGGTTGGGGAGTCTGGGTAGAGAAAAACGTTAAAGTGCTAAAGCAGCTTCTGAGAGAGGCTGCAAATGCAGATATGGTCAAGTACTGGTCTAGGGTCTGAACCTGCAAACAGCAAGGGAAAACCTCTGATTCTCCACCAGAGTTTACAAGTCCAGAAAGCAGATTTTCTCTCTCTTTTTTTAAGGAGTAAAATGCTGTTGCTACAAGTAAAAAATAGTGATGATAAATGGTCAGTTTACCACAGCTGGATTTTGCGGTAATAAAAAAAGAAAAGTTACACTCCTAGAATTCTGAGTAAAGATTACAAAAAGGACCATAGCTTGATATTCTGAATGAAAATTTAGTAGCAGCTGCAAGAAGGGAAGAGACCATGTGGATCAGGTTATTAAAAAAAAAAACATCCTGAAAAGTAGTCAAGACTCCTACACCCTTTTTGTTTACTTGAGAACCTTGCCTAGTTGGAGAGCAAGGACTGAGCTCGGCTGCTCCCACTGTCTTCAGCCTAAAGGGAACCATGTCATATACCACGTTACACACACGATGGAATAAAAGGTCAGGTTTGTTCATGACTAATGACGGCTAAATGACACCTCCGTTTCTAGCATTTGTATAAATTGTTAGCACAATCCAGTAATAGTGAACAAAAGCAAATATACCCCAGCTTATTAGACTATCACCTTATACAATTAAGTCTACAAGTGACTTAAAAACTTTTAACTGTGCAACTTAAGCAACATCAAAATGACATAAAGTGGCTTAATATTGAAAATACACCTTCTTAAGAAATAACCTTATTAAGGTAAGAAACTCATACATTTCCCTCCAACCTGGACTCAAAAGCAAAACCAATCAGGCATTAGGGACTCTTTAAAACTGAATACAAGAAGAAAAACTCTGCTCTGGTTTTATTTCTAACATGCTTGATGTTTCTAATTCTCACCCCATAGCTGTCTAAAATTAAGCATTTCTGACTAATCACCAAAACCAGTTTTACCAGTACCAAATTGGTCATGTAAAGGCCTTATAACAGTTTAACCTCTTCCCAAGTTGTGAATGTAAAAGGCAAAAGCTGATACTCTAAAGGTTAGATTGGCCCAACTTCTTCACTTCAAAGAGGCATCGTATATAGATCAACTAAATCTAATCCCAGTTCTCCAGAAAGCAAAGGTTTGTTAAAAATTCAACCTTTTGAGAAATTGCCTGGTAACCTGTAGACATATTATTAAAGGTAAAAAGGCCAAAAGGCACTAAACAGTTGTGGTCTACAACCTACAATGCATATCTTTAAAAAATTGGGGGGGAAAAAAAAAAAAAAAGTCAAGCAATATAAAACCACCACCTCCAAACAAAACTACAGGTGAAAAAAATAACAAATTAAGTGAAATTAAAGTCATTACGGGGAAATAACGTTTCTTGTCAAAAGGCAGCAGAAAGTAGCATAAAAGTGGCTTCCAAAACCATTACGTCTTTCTGATTTAACAAGCTATTAATTGGGTAACAAAAGCCAAAAACACTACTTTTTAAAGCAAAGTGTTTTCAATTATGCTGCATGCACTAAGAGAAATTTCACTGAGGGAGGCATACTGTCCTTCCAATTAAATAGACCAAATTTTAGCTGTTCAAAGACTATAATCAGCTAATAAAATTCTTGTTTAAAAAGTTCATTTTCCTCAGACAGACTTTTTTTCTTTTCAGAGGTAAAATTCTAAACTGAAATACGACCACAGCTGTTTGAGGACCACACTCCTCTTAAAAAGAAAAAAGAAAAAAAAGTAATTTAGGGTTGGTTGCTTGCCTTCCCAAAACAGGTGAGAATATTCTGGCCCCTCTCAATACCCCCAGGCAATGGCCAAGGCTGAAAATTAACTGGCAGTGAAGGAAGTTGGTTAGAAATCTCATCTATTTAAAAACCATCTCAAAACCATGAGCAGGAAGATTGTAGCAATGAGCTGACTAGATTGAGTTTCTGGCTGCTCAAATTCAGTGATGCTTAAAAATATTCTTAATCCCTGCAACGTGTACCTGTGAGAAAAACTCTACACCCTGGGCTTTCGGCCAAAGCAGGTACTGAAAAGGCTGGTTAACTGAAAATTTGTACATACTTCTTCTGTATATACACTCACTGTCCTTACAAGTGAGTAAATCAGGTTAAAATCTACATGCTTACCAATTGAAAACCAGTTGTCCATTTGCTTGTAACTTTTTTTTCTGCTAATAATTAAGTTTCATTCCAATTTTTCTAACTGATGACTGACCATGACCATATATATATTGCTAATTAAACCCTATGCCCCAGAATAGTTATTAGAGTACCAGTTGTCTTACTAGAATTTTATTGAACTGACACAATATGTTGCCACCAGTAAAATGTATTGAGAAAAAGGTAAAAGCGTTACTGTCAGCTGGTTAAAACTGTTTCCCAACCTGTCCTCAGGGTTAGGGGGGATGCCCAGGTCTCCTGTGCGCAGTTTACGAGTCAGGTCTTCTATCTGCAGTTGCACTGGAAGAAACCAGGTTAGGAAAGAAAAAAAAAAGGATGGAAAAAAGACAATGTTACCAAAAAACATCTCAAATCTCAATAACAAGCATGAAGAACTCGGAGACTTTGAAAGGGACGACTGATCAGTGAACACATTGAGGCAAAAACTCCCAACCACCTACTGGCAGGAGTCCAATTACATCTACAGGTATTTTTCACTTCAAAATGGTTATCACTTAAGGAAGCAAACAGTTTGTTGGAAGAGGGGTTAGCAGTATACTGTTCACTATGGCTAACATCAAAGCAATTATTAGGTGTTTCATTTCTCCCTCCCCCATCAAGGCTTGCTATTAACAATTGGCACCCCGAACCAAACCATGTAAGTTATCACCGAAACCTCATGCCCACCAAATTACTTTCTTGAGGGCAAGACTCTTGAGAGTTAATTTTTCTTCACTAAATATTAAGCATAGCCCAAAATGAGACCCAGTTAACATGGGACAAGGAAATATACCAGTTGAGCAAACATCATTTTCATTGATACCAAGCTTAAAATTCCTTAAGCAAGACATTTAATAACCAATTCAACATCCTCATAGAAATTTGTACATATTCTTTCTATACAACCAGATCCACACTAGTAGAGATCTCCCAGTACCTGCTTATATTCAAATTTTAGCTGACAATCCATATACTTTAATAAACCAGTAACAGTAAGATGCAAGAATTCTGTTTTTAGACTTCCTCCTTATGTGAGAGTAAAAGCAGGGGTGGGAGAGAATGGAAGGTGTGGGTTTAGGAGGATGTGTGTGGCCCTCAGACCTTGATAATGAGGCTGCATATGAAAAAGAAAGTTGAGGGTTTCACAAAAGTTCAGTGACTCCAGGGAAATGTTACCCAGCTGATTTCTCAAGATAATGGGACCTGCAGAGCCAGACCACTTTCTTCAGTATGCTGAACCACAACCTGTTTTCTTACCTTTGGAGCGTCTGAGAGTTCTGAGCAGGCATCTCTAACAAGGGCAAGTCTTACTGGGCTGGGTTAAAGTTGAACTAGCTCTAAGGCAGGATTAACGCATGTCTAACCCAAGATACCCTTTCTAATTTTAAATACATCCCACATGGTTACACCACACACCCATCCAAACTCTGAAGAAATGAAAATCCACATTAATACCAAGAAAATATATTGGGGGATTTTCTATACAAGGCAGTGTGTACTTTGAGAGACAGAAGATGAGTAATAAGGCCCATGGCTCCTTAACCTCTTCTATGCCAGAAAAGTTCTGACTTGGCAGACAAGTACTAAGCTCGACAACTCAAGGTGAAAGTCACCTTCCTGGGGGATAGGTAGTCCTCTTAACAGGACTGTAAGGGTTGGGGACCTGATTTGAGGAAATAACTGGCACTTAAAATTAAATGAAAAGGTTGCTACCTTCCTTGGAGCGGAGATCTATACCAGCCCCAGCTTTGATTCTTGCTACTTCGATTATAGCTATAAATAGCCTTTAGAGCTCAGGGCATTAACTCCCTCCACAGGAAGAAAACTGCACATGTAAAGAATGAGTTTGTTTTCTGATTTTCTAAGTCTCCTTATGTTCTGAGGATATCGCTCCATTAGGGACATTTTCACAAGGTTGTAAAGACCCAGACCAGTCTAATATGAGGCATGAGGGGGTGGGAAGGAGTAGAAAGGAACAGTGGGGAAAGAAGAAATATTAGTACTGTGAATAATTAGACAATTCCAATATCTCAAAATTCTCAGCAAGCTTAAAAATGTAAGATTATGATCTTCAGTAACATGCCAGCCTTGAAGTTTTTTTTATTTGTGAAGGCCAAAGCCTCATAGGCCTAGGAGACCTTTGCCCTAATTTATTCCAAAAGGGATGTTTATTTGGTTAGGAGGAAGTGTATATCAAGCGAACTTTTTTGAGACAGCCACACAGGTACATAAAGGTAAAATTTGCATTAAAAACCTTGTATTTTTAAAAAAGGTAATTTTGAGGTTAATTTCATTTTTCCGCTGTGGACAGTCCTTCTTAATTCTTAAAATTTCTCAACAATTAAGACCTTTTAGTCTACCACTTTATTCCACATCCGAGCAGCACCCCTTTCCCAGCAGAGTTCTTTAGTAGTAAATACAAGAGCCCTCATTTTAAGACAGCTCTCCAAAGACCATACCAGAAATGATGCTGAAGGAACAGTAAAACTCAACAAAATGGTAAAAAGGGAGTGCACTGTAAACACATTTTTAGAACCACTTTTCGATTAAACTGAGTTATTTTTTTTCCTTTCAGAAAGTACCTATAAAAAATAAAAAATCGCATTTAAGGGGAAGGGAAGAATATGAAATTATGGTGAAAGGCCATGCTGTGAAAAAGGTACTTGGTTTTACAATACCTGCAGTGTTCTCCACTGGGGCCGTATCCAGAGAGGCTTAAGACACTCACCTCATCAACTGTCAATGAACAGCAGCTGAAAAGGGTGGGGGTGTGGTGCTGAACTGGGGACTATTCTCACTCCTAAGTGAGCCCCTCTACCTTGCTGGCACTCATGGAGAACACTGCTGTTACCAACAGATCAAAACAAGAACTACAAATGCCGGACTCACAGAGCAAAAACTGAAAGATTACGTCAAAGTCGTAAAAGTACAACTGACCATACCTCATCTCACAACAGAAAACTTTAAAGCCTCAAACTTTCAACAGGTAACATATTGCTCAGAATAAAGAGTAATGACCTGAAAATACATTTGAGTGCAGAACGTGTATTTACC